CCTTGTGTCGTCAGACCTGCTTGCGTATTGGTGTTCCGAAATACGTGTTTGGAGGTCCCTTGATGTTTCGCCCACGTATAACTTGTTGCAGTCATTACAAGGGATTATGTATACCCCTGCAGAGGGTGGAAGCTTGACCTGTCTATCACTGGTAATGTCCTTGATGGTCGTGGTTGTGGAGTTAGATACTTGAAATGAGGTATTGGAAAAGATGTTGGAAACGTGTTTGGCAATGGAGTTGGTGGGGAGGACTATGTATCTCTTCTCGGCAGTGTCTTCTCTGGGTGTGTTGAAGATGTTTAATGCTTGTCGTCTGCAGTCTCTGATGAAGTGACGAGGATAGTGGAGTTTAGAAAATACTTGTTCAATCACCGTGCATTCTTCTTCAAGAAACTCATTGCTGCGGATTCTGAGTGCACGCAGGAAGAAGCCTATAATTACACCACCAAACGTGGTGTAATTATAGGCTAATTATAGTAATTATACATCTTCAACACACCCAGAGAAGACACTGCCGAGAAGAGATACATAGTCCTCCCCACCAACTCCATTGCCAAACACGTTTCCAACATCTTTTCCAATACCTCATTTCAAGTATCTAACTCCACAACCACGACCATCAAGGACATTACCAGTGATAGACAGGTCAAGCTTCCACCCTCTGCAGGGGTATACATAATCCCTTGTAATGACTGCAACAAGTTATACGTGGGCGAAACATCAAGGGACCTCCAAACACGTATTTCAGAACACCAATATGCAAGCAGGTCTGACGACGTAAGGAATGCCTGCGTACAACACCGTAATTCACACAACCACTTGATAAACTACAGAAACTCAAGACTTATCGCCACAGAAGACAACACTCAATACCGAAGAATCCTGGAATCATCACTTATTTCTATATCCGACAACTTCAACCAGAATAGTGGCTTCTATAACATAGCTGAACCACTTGCCAAGAAACTTCTTCATCGCTATCCCACATAAGAACACTGTAGAAGGTCTGCTCACAAACTTATCCAATCTCCTTTCCAAGCTACCCAAGATTTTAGACTCTATAACCCCACTCAGTACATCATCAGATGCAGCATTCTCCACCTGACCTCAGCATTCTGAACCTGACTATAAATACTCGCGTTCCTTCCACCCCAGGTAGTTCTGTTTGTGACTTGAAAAAGCCTACTGTGTGGGCGAAACGTAGTCAATAAAGGATCACATTATACTGCATATGTGTTTATATTTCCATTCCCTTTATTTCGAAACGTTTCGCCTACACAGTAGGCTTCTTCAGTCGAGTACAGAAAGTAGGCGGGAGCAGTAGAGATGTGAAGACGATGTAATCAGTCCATCACCCTTGAAGTCGTAGATTTGAGGTTGTCAGTCCCTCAGCCTGGAGAAGTTCTGTTCCAAAGTCTGGAACTAACTGAAGATCAAGCGACAGTGTGAGACTTAAATACTGTCGGAAGGAGAGGTGCAGAGTAGTAGTAGTGAGAATGTAGCCACTGAGAGGTCATGTCCCTCTCAGATCAAACAGTTCTCACTTGAAAAAGTTGTCCAAGGTGTTTTCTCTTCTGTACCAAGATGCCATTGTGTTGCAGTGTCTGACAGAGTGATTATCAAATGGTATACAATACCGACAGGTTGGTAGATAAGACACATAGGCAACATTTAGGCAACTTTATTTCGAAACGTTTCGCCTACACAGTAGGCTTCTTCAGTCGAGTACAGAAAGTAGGCGGGAGCAGTAGAGATTTGAAGACGATGTAATTAGTCCATCACCCTTGAAATCGTAGTATTTAAGTCTCACAATGTCGCTTGATCTTCAGTTAGTTCCAGACTTTAGAATAGAACTTCTCCAGGCTGAGGGACTGACAACCTCAAATCTACGACTTCAAGGGTGATGGACTGACTACATCGTCTTCACATCTCTACTGCTCCCGCCTACTTTCTGTACTCGACTGAAGAAGCCTACTGTGTAGGCGAAACGTTTTGAAATAAAGTTGCCTAAATGTTGCCTATGTGTCTTATCTACCAACCTGTCGGTATTGTATACCATTTGATAATCACGAATGTGTAGGAACTTTTGAACAAAGTGAGAGAGCAATTGTTGTAAGGCACTTAAATGCTAAAATAGGAGAAACATTTAGAGAGGGTGTGGTAGGTAAGTTTGGGGTGCCAAGTGTAAATGTTAAAGAGAGCCTTTGATTGAACTTTGTATAGAAAGGGGTTTCGTTGTATGTAATACATATTTAAATAAAAAAAAAGGATAAATAATTATGCAAGATACGATGTAGGGCACAATGACAGTAGTTTGTTGGACTCTGTGTTGGTAGATAAAAGACTGTTGGGTAGACTAGAGGGACCATGGATATATCCGATATATCAAACTAGAGAGGCCACCGATATATCAAATCACTTTTTAGTTGTAGCTACAGTGAGAGTAAAGGGTAGGCGGGATACAAAGAGAATGGAAGCAACAAGTAAGAGAGAGGTGAAGGTTAAAAAACTAAAGGAGGAGGCAGATAGGGGTAAAATATGAACAACTATTGGAGAATAGATGGGCTAGTGAGAGTATAAGCAATGGGGTAGGTTTAAGAATGTAGTGTTAGTGTGTGCAGCAGAAGTCTGTGGTTACAGGAAAGTGGGTGTGGGAGGGAAGAAGAGTGATTAGTTAAAGGTAAAGAATGTAGTAAGAGAGAAGAAGTTAGCATATGAGAGGTTTTTACAAAGAAGTGATACAAGGAGGGAAGAATATATAGAGAGAAAAAGAGAGGTTAAGAGAGTGGTGAAGGAATGCAAAAAGAGAGCAAATGAGAGAGTGGGTGAGATGTTACCAACAAATTTTGTTAAAAATAAGAAAAAAGTTTTAGCGCGAGATGAATAAGTTGAGAAAGCCTATGGAAAGAATGGACTTGACAGTTAAAAATAGAAGGGTGTTGTTAGATGAAGAGTTAGAGATTTTGGGAAGATGGAGGGAATATTTAAAGGAATTGTTAAATGTTGATCAGGATAGGGAAGCTGTGATTTCGTGTATTGGGTAGGGAAGAATAACATCTCTTAGGAGTGAGGAAGAGCCAGTTGTAAGTGTGGAGGAAGTGCATGGGGCAGTGGGTAGAATGAAGTGGGGTAAAGCAGCTGGAATTGATGGGGAAATGGCAGAAATATTAAAAGCAGATAGGGTGATATAGTTTTGGACTGGTTAGTTCTTTCATTTAATAAATGTATGGAAGAGGGTATGGTTCCTAGGGACTGTCTGCATATTTCCTTAGTATAAAGGCAAAGGGGTCAAAAGAAAGTGTAAAAAACTATAGGGGATAAACCTGTTGAGTACACCTGGTAAAGTGTATAGTAGAGTTATTACTGAAAGAATTAAGAGTAAGACGGAGAGCAAGATAGCAGATGGACTAGGTGGCTTTAGAAAGGGTAGGGGGTTTGTAGAACAAGTGTTTACGGTATAGGTGAAGAGTATTTAGATAAGGGTTAAGAGGTTTCTATGGTGTTTATGCATTTACAAAAGGCGGATGATATGGTGGATAGGTGGCCAATGTGACAGATGTTGCAAATGTATGGAATAGAAGGTAGGTTACTGCAACCAGTGACGATTTTTTACTAGGATAGTGAGGCTCAGGTTAGAGTATGTAGGAGAGAATGAGATTATTTTCAAATAGGTCTTAGACAAGGATGTGTGATATCATCATGGTTGTTCTATATATTTATAGATGGGGCTTATAAGAAGAGTGAAGCGTGGGGTTAAAAAATTAAGACTTTAACACAAATAGGTGTTGTCACAGATGCTCATTGCTGATAACACTGTACTTTTGGGAGATTCTGAAGAGATGTTGCAGAGGTTCGTGATGAGTTTGGTAGGGTGCGTAAAAGAAGTGAATATAGGAAAGAGTAAGATGATGAGGATAACCAAAAATTTAGGTAACGAAAGATTAGAAATCAGATTGGAGAGAGTATGGAGGAGGTGAATGTATTCAGATATTTGGGAGTGGACGTGCCAGCAAATTGGTCTATGAAAAATGAGGTGAATCATAGATGTGATGATGGGAAAAAATTATGTGGTGCAGAAGCTGCTAAGTCTGTGGAGACAAAAATATTATCCATTGAAGCAAAGAGGGATATGTATGAGAGTACAGTTATACCATCGCTCTTATATGGGCGTGAAGCATGGGCAGTGAATGTTGCAACAAGGAGAAGGCTGAAGGCAGCGAGATGGCGCATCTAAGGGCAAAGTGTGGAGTGAATTTAATGCAGAGAATCCATAGTTTGGAAATTAAGAGGAGGTGAAGGGGTTACTAAATGTATTATCCAGAGGGTTGAGGAAAGATTGTTGAGATGGTTCGGACATTTAGAGAGGGTGAAACAAAGTAGAATAACTTGGAGAGCATATAAATCTGTAGTGGAAAGAAGGAGGGGTAGGAATAGGCCTAGGAAAGGTTGGAGGGAGGGGGTAAATGAGGTTTTGTGTGTGAGGGACTTTGACTTCCAGCAGGCATGCGTCAGCGTGTTAGATGGGAATGAGTTAAGACAAATGGTTTTAAGGGCTTGGCGTGTTGTTGGAGTGTGATCAAGGTAACATTTATGAAGGGATTCAGGGAAATTGGCAGGTCGGACTTGAGTCCTGGAGATGGGAAGTACAGTGTCTGCACTCTGAAGGAGAGGTGTTAATGTTTCAGTTTTATAACTGCAACATTAACGCCTCTGGCAAGACAGTGATGGAGTAAATGATGATGAAAGTTTTTCTTTTTCGGGAATGATGAAAGTTTTTCTTTTTGGTGGGAAAAGACTGATGTATTAATGACAAAAAAAAAAAAATCCTTAAAGCATGGGGTGGGATCTTGACGCTGGTGAAGGGTTCTTGGTTCAAGAAATTGGAGCTAGTCTCACCTACATGTGATCAGACTTGATTATAACCCATTCCGCAAGTGTTATAAGACCCCAGTACATTCATCATTCCCTATTAAATGTAATAATAATAATCATATTTGTAGAGACCAGTTGGTAGAAGACTGGTGCTTAGCGGTGAAGGCCTCGGAGCTGGAGGTAACTGACTCCTTCAGCTTGGTGGATGCACTTGCGCCAGCCTTGCAGATCCGTGCCTGGGGCCTCGAGGGTCTGCCCACTGATTCATTCTCGCTCCAGAATGCGACCATCATCAAACACTCTGTGAAGTACGTCACTTTTCTTTTAATGAACACAGGCTTCTTCAATCAGACACGGGCGAATATAGCTCTTGAGACAGTTGATAAAGCAGTTTTTTATTAATTAATCTGTCAGCTTTGGCAGGAGGTAGTCAGTCACTCAATAACCTTACCCAGTGTCATCAACTTGTAGGAATTGTTTTCCAGCAAAAATATGATACTTCTATTTTACTTAATTCAGAATAAATATTCTTGTTTCAGATGTTTTAAACACGACATTTAATGAACTTGTAGCGAGAGGAGAACATGTAACCGATAATGATGATTGTGGTTGTGATCCTAACAATAACTAGCAGTTCTCTAACATGTGACCAGTAATGATGAGTGTGGCTATGATCCTAACAGTAATTAGCAATTTTGTAACATGTGACCAGTAATGATGATTGTTGCTATGATCCTAACAGTAACTAGCAGTTCTGTAACCAATGGTCTTTACACGTTGTTTTCAAATCAAATTACCCACCAGATTTTGCCTTTTATTTCCCAGGTCATTAAATAGAGGATTTACTGTGTGTCACGTCCTCAAAAAAAATGATATTATTATGCATATTTGAATATTTTATCTAATATTTTATTGCTTATGCTATTTTTGTTAATAACAAAAGAGAAAACATGGTTTATAGTATTATTTTGTTCATATATTTAGCTACATTTATGGGTAGGATGTAACACACAAATTGCACTTTCTGAGCTGATAGATTCGAGAGTTTTGATTGGCTGCTCACCTTGCCAAACTGGTGTTCACTTGTTTGTCTTCTAGGACAAGCCAAAAGTATCGAATCCCGCACTTGCAGTTCACTAGCTGGGTATGCACTCTGTCTTTGAGAACACTCTCGTCATGTAGACTCTGGTAGAGTACACATCTGTTGGTGAACCGGAACATACATCTCATATTTTGCAACTCTGTTCACAGAGTCTTAATGATAATTAATGATTTTTTATATATTTTCTCTGGCTGTTCACAAATAACCTTCACATAGGAGAGAGCTTATGACGATGCTTCGATCCGACTTTGACCACTTACAAAGTCACACAGTGTGACTTTGTAAATTCAAATTCAAATTCAAATTCAAAGTTTATTCTCTATAAGGATTACAATGCTGAGTTTACAGAATTTGGTTATTGTGTGGTTTACATGTAGTAAAATAATGATTACAGAGTGTACCACTAGAACGCTTAGCATGGCTAGGCATTTCAGGAAGACTTAGTTTAATTCTTAATTTTAAAATATTTGAAATTATGAGGTAAGTTGGTATTATGGCTAAGTGACTAAATACTAGTTTGTGAGTTTAGCAATGTGAATGCTTTTGTTTTGGCACAGTACATAGTTTCAGTATTGGAGTATCACAGGATTCATTATTTTAAGATTGAGATTAATATTTCTGTTTATGGTCAAATGGGTGAGTGAGTGTAAGTGTGAACCACCAGGTGGTATTCGTGTAGTTAGTTGACAGGGTGTATCAGGGAGATAAGATGTTTTCTAATGGAAGTTTTGAAGGTGATGAATGTGTCTGCAGTTCTAGAGTTCTCAGGTAGGGTGTTCCAGATTTTAGGGCCTTTGATATACATTGAATTTTTGTAAAGGTTTAGTCTGACACTGGGAATGTCGTAGAGATGTTTGTGTCTGGTGTTGTGCCTGTGGGTTCTGTCACAACTATCAAGAAAGCGTTTTAGGTCCTGTAGATGTAGATTGCACAGTAGTAAGTGTGGATGTACTGAACAGGGAGTAAGTTTAGATCTATGAAGAGTGGGGGGGGGGGGTGTTGCCAGGGATGGGATTTAGTGATTATTCTTACTGCAGCTTTTTGTTGGGTTATTATTGGCTTTAGGTGTGTTGCTGCAGTTGATCCCCAAGCACAAATAGCATAAGTGAGGTATGGATAAATAAGTGAGTGGTATAGTGTGAGAAGGGCATTTTGTGGCACGTAGTATCATATCTTGGAGAGGATCCCAACCGTTTTGGATACTTTTTTGGTTATGTGTTGGATATGGGTGCTGAAATTCAGGTTGTTGTCAAGGTATAGGCCTAGGAATTTGCCCTCATTATGTCTGATAATTAGAGTGTTGTCAATCTTAATGTTAATTTGAGCACCTCCTGCGTAAGTTTATTGGCTGTCATCCAAGTCGATATTTTGATCAGCTCCTCGTTAACAATGGTGTTGAGGGTGGCAAGATTAGGGTGAGAGATGACATAAGTCGTGTCGTCAGCAAAGAGAATGGGATACATTTGGAAGATCATTGATGTATATGAGGAAGAGCAGGGGACCAAGGACACTTCCCTGCGGAACTTCAATATCAAGTGGCCGTGTTGTTGATGCTGTGTCTTTAATGGTGACATACTGATACCTATTAGTAAGGTAAGATTTGAAATAAGCAAGCGCATGGCCTCTTATACCGTAATGGTTAAGTTTGTGGAGTAGGATGTCGTGGTCTACTGTGTCAAAAGCTTTTCTTAGGTCAATAAAAATTCCTATTGGATCCGACATGATCATTCAGTTCTTTACAAAGCTCTTGTGATAATACTTAAAGGAAATAAAGTAAGGTTTTCTCTACAAGCTTCATCAACATAAGTCTCGCTAGAGGTATTATCTATAACTTGTTCTTTCCTTGAAAGGAAACGAACCACGAGAAATGCCAATTGAGATAAAAGCAGTGTAATACCTGGCCTCTATGTCCACTATATAAAGAAGTACTTTATCACAGCTGTGCCATAAGCTTACAAATATTTACACACTCCGATGTGCATAGTTTCAGTACTTTACTGATTACCAATATTAAATATTTCTGTACATTTTATTTAAACTGAATTTTAAGTAATTTACTTAGAAAGCGATATCATCTAGTCTGTTACTATACTGCAAAGTACTAAAAAATGTATTGCATTTGTGTTTGTTGTGTAGTTGTCAAGGCAACATAAAACGTGATTGACGAAACAACAAGTCCCTGAATAGACCAACAGAGGCAAGAAACGGAGTAAAGAAACCAAGTAGCCAAACAGCAAGATGTTGATAGTAGACGTGAGCGGCACAGCATCAGGAAAGGAAGGACACAAAAATTACTATAATTGGGGAGAGTCGACTTGTCCTCCATACAAGAAAAAAAAAAACTCCCAAATTACTTACTGTGAGTTAAGAAACTTGCAAACCCCAGACTACGACAGAGTAGATGCTAGTCAGAACTCAAGACACATCCATAGCTTAACAAAAAAAAAAAAGCACAATGTCGTGACTGGAACAATACACAAATAACCCGCACATAGGAGCTTACGACGACATTTTGGTCCGACTTGGACCAAAATGCCCAGTCAGGACACGTCTGAAATCAGAATTCTCGTTTATGAGAGATATATAGTGATAGCAGAGACAGAAGCAAAGGATCTTGACAGCTGTTAATATTAATGCAACAGTGTACTTATGAACAGATGTACTTGCAAATTCACAGCTGAGAATGTTTCCGTGACAGTGAAGCATCATGCAGTTATAGTAGGAATAGTTTGTGAGCAAGTTATAGATTTGCTAACACCTGTCTTTTAGAAGGAGCATTTTTTGAACAGATGGTGAACTAATTAAAGACTTCACATGACCTAAAATGAAGGAAACAGTCTCTGACCATATGCAATGTTGCCATACTGTCATTTGAGGGACAAGCCTACTCAGGCTCCGCCACATGCTCCTCTCATATCTGTTCCAGATTTTCCTCGTTCCTTTATAACAAGTGATAAGGTAATGGCTCAAAAATAATTACCAGGCTATGCTCTACAAGCCAAATATAATGATTCCCTGTAGGAGTCAAACACTTTATTGATGTAAATTGTACACTCGCCTGGGAAGAATATGGACATGTTTACCACATTAATAAAATCAAGGTTCACTGGTCTAGTCCTGTACCTACTACAACTATGCTTTCTTGGTGTATAGAAATGTGTTTAAAAAATTCTCTGACACTAAATCACTTGATATTTTTCTAAGTAATCTTGATACAGAAAAAGTTGTTGATAAAACAGATGACACTTCAATACCCTTGTTTGTTTGGCAGTGTTCCTATATGCTGTACTCCTCCTAAAAGCTATATAGTCCTCTTGTACATGATGTGGACGTACAGGGTGCATCCACTATAAAACAATCTCCTTATAGGATGAGTTCTAAGAAGCACCCAGCACTGAGGAAAGAAGTCGACTTTCTGCCACCGTATGGGTTGATAAAACTCAGAAAAGGTACTTGGGCTTCACGCTGCATATTAGTTCCCAAACCTGATGGTAGTTTTAGGAGGGCATACTGATTATTATCACTCCCATGCATTGATAACCTTATTGATGTGTCGGGGATTTTGCACGTTAGCTGATTAGATTTGAGACATCTCTGCCTTCACTGTTCAAGATGGACTCTTCATCTATCTAGTCACACCATTGGGCATGTGCGAGAAGGCATCTTAATTCCAGTGCCTGATAAATGAGTTGACTGCCACTTTGTTTAAATGTGTGTTTTCATTTTCCCTGTCTGACACTGTGCTGCTCACAGCTGTTTTGCGCATTTTGCTCTTTGGTGAACTGGTCACTCTACTGTTCAAGTTTTGTTTATTTTGTCTGTTGGTCAGACGTTAGGCTACAGTATTTATGGATGGTCTTGCCAAACACACTACGCACATATATATTACTTATTTTAGTACTTTCGAGTGCAGTGCCGTACAGGTACTCGCCAGATATATTTGATCATTAAGTATATAAAATGTACAGTTTTCCAGCTAAACTGCTAAACACTCAGTTTAAATATAATGCACAGAAATATATAGTATTCATAAATAAGTTAGTGACATTATACATCTAGTGGAGACTAATTCCATCATCATTAAGTTTATCAGTAAATATTGTTACCTTCAGACATAACTTTTGTTTGATTAAAGTTCTCAAACTAATATTTGTTGATTATTATTTACCCAGATTTTAACCCGCGATGTAATAATAATAATATTTATAAAACTGGGATGCTTGAATGTGCGTGGATGTAGTGCGGATGATAAGAAACAGATGATTGCTGATGTTATGAATGAAAAGAAGTTGGATGTCCTGGCCCTAAGAGAAACAAAGCTGAAGGGGGTAGGGGACTTTCGGTGAGGGGAAATAAATGGGATTAAATCTGGAGTATCTGAGAGAGTTAGAGCAAAGGAAGGGGTAGCAGTAATGTTGAAGGATCAGTTATGGAAGGAGAAAAGAGAATATGAATGTGTAAATTCAAGAATTATGTGGATTAAAGTAAAGGTTGGATGCGAGAAGTGGGTCATAATAAGCGTGTATGCACCTGGAGAAGAGAGGAATGCAGAGGAGAGAGAGAGATTTTGGGAGATGTTAAGTGAATGTATAGGAGCCTTTGAACCAAGTGAGAGAGTAATTGTGGTAAGGGATCTGAATGCTAAAGTAGGAGAAACTTTTAGAGAGGGTGTGGTAGGTAAGTTTGGGGTGCCAGGTGTAAATGATAATGGGAGCCCTTTGATTGAACTTTGTATAGAAAGGGGTTTAGTTATAGGTAATACATATTTTAAGAAAAAGAGGATAAATAAGTATACAAGATATGATGTAGGGCGAAATGACAGTAGTTTGTTGGATTATGTATTGGTAGATAAAAGACTGTTGAGTAGACTTCAGGATGTACATGTTTATAGAGGGGCCACAGATATATCAGATCACTTTCTAGTTGTAGCTACACTGAGAGTAAAAGGTAGATGGGATACAAAGAGAATAGAAACATCAGGGAAGAGAGAGGTGAAGGTTTATAAACTAAAAGAGGAGGCAGTTAGGGTAAGATATGAACAGCTATTGGAGGATAGATGGGCTAATGAGAGCATAGGCAATGGGGTCGAAGAGGTATGGGGTAGGTTTAAAAATGTAGTGTTAGAGTGTTCAGCAGAATTTTGTGGTTACAGGAAAGTGGGTGCGGGAGGGAAAAGGAGCGATTGGTGGAATGATGATGTAAAGAGAGTAGTAAGGGAGATAAAGTTAGCATATGAGAAGTTTTTACAAAGTAGAAGTGATGCAAGGAGGGAAGAGTATATGGTGAAAAAGAGAGAGATTAAGAGAGTGGTGAAGCAATGTTAAAAGAGAGCAAATGAGAGAGTGGGTGAGAGGTTATCAACAAATTTTGTTGAAAATAAGAAAAAGTTTTGGAGTGAGAATAACAAGTTAAGGAAGCCTAGAGAACAAATGGATTTGTCAGTTAAAAATAGGAGAGGAGATTTATTAAATGGATGGAGGGAATATTTTGAGGAATTCTTAAATGTTGATGAAAATAGGGAAGCTGTGATTTCGTGTATAGGGCAAGGAGGAATAACATCTTGTAGGAGTGAGGAAGAGCCAGTTGTGAGTGGGGGGGAAGTTCGTGAGGCAGTAGGTAAAATGAAAGGGGGTAAGGCAGCCGGGATTGATGGGATAAAGATAGAAATGTTAAAAGCAGGTGGGGATATAGTTTTGGAGTGGTTGGTGCAATTATTTAATAAATGTTTGGAAGAGGTTAAGGTACCTAGGGATTGGCAGAGAGCATGCATAGATCCTTTGTATAAAGGCAAAGGGGACAAAAGAGAGTGCAAAAATTATAGGGGGATAAGTCTGTTGAGTATACCTGTTAAAGTGTATGGTAGAGTTATTATTGAAAGAATTAAGGTTAAGACAGAGAATAGGATAGCAGATGAACAAGGAGGCTTTAGGAAAGGTATGGGATTTGTGGACCAGGTGTTTACAGTGAAACATATAAGTGAACAGTATATAGATAAGGCTAAGGAGGTCTTTGTGGCATTTATGGATTTGGAAAAGGCGTATGACAGGGTGGATACGGGGGCAATGTGGCAGATGTTGCAGGTGTATGGTGTAGGAGGTAGGTTACTGAAAGCAGTGAAGAGTTTTTACGAGAATAGTGAGGCTCAAGTTAGAGTATGTAGGAAAGAGGGAAATTATTTCACAGTAAAAGTAGGCCTTAGACAAGGATGTGTGATGTCACTGTGGTTGTTTAATATATTTGTAGATGGGGTTGTAAGAGAAGTAAATGCGAGGGTCTTGACAAGAGGTGTGGAGTTAAAAGATAAAGAATCACACATAAAGTGGGAGTTGTCACAGTTGCTCTTTGCTGATGACACTCTGCTCTTGGGAGATTCTGAAGAGAAGTTGCAGAGATTGGTGTATGAATTTGGTAGGGTGTGCAAAAGAAGAAAATTAAAAGTGAATACTGGAAAGAGTAAGGTTATGAGGATAACAAAAAGATTAGGTGATGAAAGATTGGATACCAGATTGGAGGGAGAGAGTATGGAGGAGGTGAATGTATTCAGATATTTGGGAGTGGATGTGTCAGCGGATGGGTCTATGAAAGATGAGGTGACTCATAGAATTGATGAGGGGAAAAGGGTGACCAGTGCACTTAGGAGTCTGTGGAGACGAAGAACTTTGTCCTTGGAGGCAAAGAGGGGAATGTATGAGAGTATAGTTTTACCAACGCTCTTATATGGGTGTGAAGTATGGGTGATGAATGTTGCAGTGAGGAGAAGGCTGGAGGCAGTGGAGATGTCATGTCTGAGGGCAATGTGTGGTGTGAATATAATGCAGAGAATTCGTAGTTTGGAAGTTAGGAGGTGCGGGATTACCAAAACTGTTGTCCAGAGGGCTGAGGAAGGGTTGTTGAGGTGGTTCGGACATGTAGAGAGAATGGAGCGAAACAGAGTGACTTCAAGAGTGTATCAGTCTGTAGTGGAAGGAAGGCGGGTTAGGGGTCGGCCTTAGAAAGGTTGGAGGGAGGTGGTAAAGGAGGTTTTGTGTGCAAGGGGCTTGGACTTCCAGCAGGCATGCGTGAGCGTGTTTGATAGGAGTGGATGGAGACAAATGGTTTTTAATACTTGACATGCTGTTGGAGTGTGAGCTAAGTAACATTTATGAAGGGGTTCAGGGAAACCGGCAGGCCGGACTTGAGTCCTGGAGATGGGAAGTACAGTGCCTGCACTCTGAAGGAGGGGTGTTAATGTTGCAGTTTAAAAACTGTAGTGTAAAGCACCCTTCTGGCAAGACAGTGATGGAGTGAATGATGGTGAAAGTTTTTATTTTTCGGGCCACCCTGCCTTGGTGGGAATCGGCCAGTGTGATAAGAATCAAAAAAAAATTTAGTTCAGAATAATTAATCCCCCCAAAATTAAAAACTGCAACTTATTGCAAAGCCAGGAACAGGTTAGATGCTAGAATGATATCAGTAGGCTGACCTAGTATTCTTTGGTATGTCTATGCTAATAGTTGTCGCAGTTATAACATCGTATTTGCATGTAATCATAGTTTTGTTGCCTTTCATGATGGGGGGGGTAGGGTGCCTTGATGCTGGTGACTGCCTACGATTATGAGGAATTTCAGCTGCCCTTCTCTTCCTAGGATCATATTCTATTACCGCTCTTTTCCCATTTGATGTAGGGCCTCTACTTTATTACTGTCCACTTGTGCATGATTACAGATGGCCTCTGCTAGTTGATCCTGACGACCAGGGCACACGGTGGATACAGCAGCACGAAGCCCCAAATGGCCTGGAAGTTATCCAGGAACAAGACTTTGATAAGATAATTCCCCAGGGACTGGGTGGAGCACGGGTGACCGTGTTACAGGACGCTCTTACTCGCTGTGTGCCAAAGGGTCAGCCACTCTTGCTTCTCGACCTGTCAGGAGATCCACCACCTAACATGACAAACATAATCAACCGCATCACAACTGAAGAAGGTAAAATTTTAAATTTCTCTCAGAGACGCTGTTAGAATTTATGCACATGGATCAAGGTTAACGAATGAATAGGTAAAAATCTAAGTTAATAAATAATGAACAAATGGCTGATTTAGAATGCTATGATCGATTATGGGATTTTAATTACGCCTTTGATGAATAAGACACGTGTAACACTGAGATGTTTTTATTGCCCAGTTATGATGCCAAAGTGTTGCACATGTGTCTTATTCATTAAAACTGTAGCTGTTATACTAATGACGTAATGATAATGTCATATTTGCTGAATTTAAATCATTAATATGCAAATATTACCAATACACCTTTTCCTGTATATAACGGTATGACAGAGCTCCTCTTCAGCTCTCATCACCACCCACGTTTTTTCAACAACATAGTAGGCAGCGTGAATGATGTTAGAATTACTAAGGACTCAAATACTGTCCTGTCCTGAGTACATAAGAACATAAGAAAGAAGGAATGCTGCAACAGGCCTACTGACCCATGCAGAGCAGGTCCATGCATCCCCACGGATTAGACCAATGACACCCCCCAGGATTAGCCCAATGACCCACCCAGTCTGGTCACCTCCACTCAAGGATGGAGCACTGCACCAGACCCAGCAACACAAGCTAGTCATGTCCAACTCACACCCACTCACACCCACTCATGTATTTATCTAACCTATTTTTAAAACTACACACCGTTTTAGCCTGAATAACTGTACTCGGGAGTTTGTTCCACTCATCCACAACTCTATTACCAAACCAGTGCTTTCTTAAATCCTTCTGGAATCTGAATTTTTCCAACTTGAAACCATTGCTGTGAGTCCTGTCTTGACTGGAAATTTTCAGCACACTATTTACAACCCCTTTATTTAATCCTGTTTTCCATTTATACACCTCGATCATATCCCCCCTAATTCTACGCCTTTCGAGAGAGTGCAGATTCAGGGCCCTCAGTCTATCATCATAGGGAAGATTTCTGATACATGGGATCATCTTTGTCATCCTCCTCTGTACGTTTTCCAGAGCATTTATATCCATTCTGTAATACGGTGACCAGAACTGAGCAGCATAGTCTAAATGAGGCCTAACCAAGGATATATAGAGTTGAAGAACAACCTGAGGACTTCTATTATTTATACTTCTTGATATGAAGCCAAGAATTCTGTTAGCTTTATTGTGAACACTAATGCACTGTTGTCTTGGTTTTAGAGTACTGCTAACCAGAACTCTTTAATCCTTTTTGCAATCAGTAGTATTAAGATCTACATTATTTAGTTTATATGTGGCATGGTTATTTAACTGTCCAACATTTAGAACTTTGCATTTGTCAATATTAAATTGCATCTGCCACTTCTCTGACCATTGCATCAGTCTATTCAAATCATCCTGGAGTGCTCTAGTGTCCTCATTAGAAAGTATTGGACTGCCTAAATTGGTGTCATCAGCAAATTTGCATATGTCGCTATTTATTTCCTCATTTATGTCGTTTATGTAAATTGTGAACAACAACGGGTCCAACACTGACCCCTGAGGAACACCACTTGTGACGTGCCCCCATTCTGATTTCTCTCCATTTATGCAAACTCTCTGCTGTCTATTTTTCAGCCATGCCTCTACCCAGGAAATTTTTTTTCCTATTTCGTGTGCCTTAATTTTCCTCAATAGCCTCTGGTGTGGAACTCTATCGAAAGTCTTACTGAAGTCCATATACACAATATCGTATTCATTACCATGATCTACCTCCTCAAACACCTTAGTGAAAAAAGTTAGTAAATTCGTAAGACAGGAATGCCCCTTTGTAAAACCGTGTTGAGATTCATTAATCAATCTCTGCTTGTCAAGATGGCTATGAATTGCTTCGGCAATTATTGATTCCATAAATTTTCCCACTATGGAGGTAAGGCTTATTGGTCTACAGTTCGAATCCAAGGACCTGTCACCTGCCTTGTAAATAGGCATTACATTGGCCATTTTCCACTTATCAGGCACTATGCCAGTTTGTAGTGATATGTTAAAAAGATTAGCCAAAGGTATGCTAAGTTCCTCTTTACATTCCTTTAACACCCTTGCAAACAGATCATCAGGGCCTGGGGATTTGTTAGGTTTTAGTTTCTCTATTTGTCTGAGGACCATGTCACTAGCTACCGCAATCGTACATAGTTTATTATCATCCTGTTCTACATAATCTATTATTTCAGGAATATTGCTAGTATTTTCCCGGGTGAAAACTGAGATGAAGTAGGTATTTAGAATTTCACACATATCCTTATCACTGTCAGTGATCTGACCATTGTAGGACTGTGGATAAACTGATACCCGTGTATAGTTCACTACATTTAGTAAAGGAAATGTTTCGGGCCAGAAGTACAAAAGAAACTGTACATGGCAGACTGTTCAGTAAACATCGTGAACAGTACATAAGTGTCTTTATCCACATCTTCTCGGAATTATTATATCATTCGGTTTTATTACAGCAGTTTTAAAATAAGTTCCATTTTATTTAGTATTAATCTGCCCAAAATATAATGCATACCCAATGCTTTTCTAAGTAATATCGTTAACCATTGGGTATTGTGTGATAAATGGTTTGAAAAACCGACAAGTTGAAGATTGAGACACTTATTCAACATATGGGAATCTTTATTCAAGAAACGTTTCGCCACACAGTGGCTTCATCAGTCCAATACAAAGTAGAAAGGTGTAAGGAGAGGAGGAGTTTGAGGAAATCAGTCCATCAGCCTGGAGTCGATGTGTTCAGTCCATCAGTCTTATAGAATGTACAGCATAGGGCCATAGACGTGACTTATATACTGTATTCAGGTGAGGAGAAGCAGGAGAAGGCGGGGTCATAGTGGTACCATCCACTAGTCGAAGTAGGTCTTCATCCAAAGGTTGGACAAGTGTTGAAGAATTTTTTGTAACAAGATCCCATGATGCTGCAGTGTCTGACAGTGATGAATGGTTTGAAAAACCGACAAGTTGAAGATTGAGACACTTATGCAACATATGGGAATCTTTATTCAGGAAACGTTTCGCCACACAGTGGCTTCATCAGTCTAATACAAAGTAGAAAGGTGTAAGGAGAGGAGGAGTTTTAGGTAATCAGTCATGGTAAATAAAAAGTAAATTTATTTACAGTTACTGAAAGACTGCTATACACACAAAAAAAATCAGAGACTAGGGGGATACTTGAGGGAAAAAATAATCCAGACAAATTGATTTTCAAGACAGAAATGGTGTAAACAGGATCCTGCAACAGAAACCATGGCTAAAGAACTCATCAAAATACCAGTGAGTGTATCTCAACTATGACAGAACACGAACAGAACGATGGAATCTGAGAGAATACAAAGGCACAAGGGACAGGAAAGAGAGACAAGGATAGAACCAGCAAACACACCCATCAGCACAACCACCCACAGAATAATGTCAGTCCCTAATGTCCCACCACCACCAAACAAATGAACCCAAAAAACCCACACTCCACACTCACAGAACCCATCACTAGCACAATCCCCACCTCCACAGCAGCCTCCCATAGCATCCTATCAGGTCTCCTACTACTCCATCCCCCACAGTCTCCCTAAATACCGTACTGGAGGTATGGTACACAAACGAATGGAAAAACAATTGTGAGGAGTGAAAATATCTTGGAAGCATTTTCAGATATCATAGAACTTACATATAAAAAGCTCATAGGAATGATAACAAACACGATCTTTCCAAAGGAAAGACAGAGGGAACAGAGGCAGAGGAGGAGTTGTGATGCATATAAAAAACAGTGGAGCTTTGAGGAATTACAGGGATGCAAGGGACTACATGGTAGGGACACTTTGAATTGGGAACCCCAAGATAATTATTGCAGTGATGTACATATCACCACAGAATAGCAGAAGGCCAAGACAGCAGTACAATGAGAGCTAAAGAGCAATGGTGGATACACCAGCTGAGTTGGCCAGAAGGCCCAAAATGGATCGGGGAAAGTTACTAATTGTTGGTGATTTCAGTCACAAGGAGATTGAGAGAGAAAACCTGGAACCACAAGGAGGATCAGAAATGTGGAGAGCTAAGATGATGGAGGTGGCACTGCTGGAAAACCTCATGCATCAACCTTGAGCAGTTCAGACATTGGGGATATCACATAAAAAAGGCCCCGTGGAGCTAGTGATCACGTGATCCAGAGCTTCGAATACGCTGTAGAGTTAACATTGAAGAGTGAAGCAGCATGAGAAAGACTAGAGAAGCCAAACTACAAAATAGGGGACTACGCAGGCATGAGGAAATTCCTGCAGGAGTTCCAGCAGTAAAGAGAAATGGAGGGAATGACATTAAATAAAATGATGGAATATGTGACCGCAAAGTGCAGGAAGGCAGACGAGAGGGTCGTACCCAAGGGCAACAGAAACAATGAGACAAGCAAAAGGAGCCCTTGGTTCACCGAAAGAATTAGAGAGGTCAAAACTGTGCTAGAATGTGGAGAAAGTATAGAAGACAATGGCCCCAGGAAAATAAGGAGATGAGCCAAAAAGATAGAAAGCTAGGAGAGTGAATTGGGATTTTTTTCCTACACTGTCTGTGCACCGGGTGTAGGTTTTCTTTAACAGCACGAGAAACAAATATGCATGGATAAGGAGGGAGTCACAGTGGCAATACGAGAGTGATAAAGCATCGAAAGCCACATCTGACGCAAAGCTGTTGTAGAGCCATATCAGGAGGAAAAGAACAGTCAATAATCAGTTAATCAGGCCGAGAAAGGAAGGAGGGGAGCCCTCCAGAAAAGACCAGTGGGTGTGTGAAAGGCTCAGCAAGAGATTTAAGGAGAAACACACACACACACACATGCACACACACACACACACACACACACACACACACACACACACACACACACACACACGCGCGCCTGTTACAAGCGGGGTCCCACAGGGGTCAGTTCTAGGACCAGTGCTATTTTTGATATATGTGAACGACATGATGGAAGGAATAGACTCT